TCTATATGTAATCCTTTTTCTGCCTGCTGTCTCATATGTAATAATATTTGTGGCTTTTCAATGTTCAGGGTCTGCCGAAACTCGACGACCAGATAGTATCTCGTTCCTTGGACGTGTCCATGAGTTTTTCCACTCCTGGAACGCGGCCACCTTACCGGCTTCTTTTTATCTCCCTTTCGCGTTCTCCATGCCACAAATTCTGGTCCATACTTCAATGTCTTGCTTTCGATTCTTAGCGTGCCTGTTCTCAGTTCCCTATGTGGTCTGCTTGGCTTTGCTGCACGCAGATATTATCGATCTCCTGACAGGTAGTCCTTCTGATAGTCCGATGTGTTGGACCCTCCTTTGTTTCAGGTACATGTCTATCGGGAGAACCGAAGACTCGTGTTCTAGTATCCTTCAGCTTAATAAATTACTTATTTTTGTTTTCTACTCATAGATTTGATCAGCTAACTTTGTATTTAGATTGTTGTGTGTCCCTAGAGAGCACAGACCCGTATCACGCCTATTGGGTGCAGAGCGTAAGCCTGATACGAAATACATTCAATTCAATTCTGGAGCCGCGATCGAGCTTCAGGGGTTAGACCCCTGTTAGGGCTTCCAGTCTCTTAAGGGTATCAAAAGTACAATTGTCAAAATGACTGGGGCTAGATCCCTGTACATATTGCCTTAATTGGTATGTTCTTCATGCAGGCCCATGTCTAGTTCGTCGACTTGTTATTATAGCAGGGGTGCCATCCAATGATATTCCGTTAAAGTCTAAATTATGGGGATGGTTTTCAACTCTAAATGGAATGTACAATGGTCCTCATTGAAAATTAAAAATTAAAAAAAAAATCAATTGGTATTATCTAAAAATACACATCTATTTCAAAAATAATCGCTCTGTATTACAAAAGTCTACATCGAAGTCCTCAGTGTAACTCGCAACTAAAATGAAAGCGTGCTACATGTTTTATGTTAGTCTGTTCCATCCTAACACCTTGTATACCCTCCATTTTCCTTTATCACCGCTATTCATCTTTTGTGCATGTTAACCACACTTAATGGAGGCTTCTTCCGAGCAATGCATCTGCTGTAACCTATTTTATTGAGGGCATTAGAAATTAAACCCTCACTGCATCGCCAGTGGCTGAAAGGTCCCATTGCTAGTTCCAAATAGCACATCTGACGATTTTCAGGAGATTCCCGGACTAAAGCCTCAAGCTCACCAACTTGTTCCACGCTTAATTTAGGTGAGCAACCTTTGCGAAGAATGGGATTCTCAGTCTCTCGAGCACACGCAAGTTGCACTTGCCTTTTTGAGAAGCCAAGTTCGTCGGATATATGTTGTAATGTCAAGCCAAGTCTTCTTAATGTTCTTATTTCAATACATTGATCGCGAGTTAGATGCCTGCAAACTTTAGTTTCTGGTGCAGACTTTTCGAGAGACTTTTTTTGCCGGAATAAAGGATGAATTGATAGTGGTGTTGATGATGAAGGGTTGTGCAGCCAAAAATGTCGTTGAAAATATGTCTCTCTAAGCGATTGTTAGAATAAGACGATTGGACCATACTTCATGGCGAGCGGGGTAATGAGGAGAGACATACTAACCTATTACGGGCTAGCCCGACTGCGCTTACGGGGCTAATCCCTTATACATCCCAGTTTCGAGGTTGACATTTTATATCCCAGAGGCACTGTACCCCGACAGGGTACATAATTCCTGTCCTGGATTTCAAGGCCTAAACTAAGGGCACATATCGATTACCTGTCACCATCAATTTTATGCAAATCCAACCCGTCCAACAATTTTTTCCCATCTCTTCTCTATCAGTCGATCGCTAAATAATTACACAGCTCTTCTCATCTTGTGCTTAACTGACAATAAGAATTAGGTTTCTTAAATACAAAGTTATTTCTTCAGAAGACACATGGTTTTACTCGATCCTAACCTAATTTTGCAGATGAATCCACCTCAAACTCCACCTTCAACACCTCAATTCAAACAATTATCCAGAGATTAAAACATTCTAATAACTCGAAAAATTAAATATTAATGAATTGAGTTTAAAAGAAATTTTGAGATTTATGGGCTTCATAAATTTGGCAGAACCGAGACGCAGATTGCCGTGCAACCAGGCATTTCTCGGGGACAGGTTAGTTATTCACTGCGCCGCGGAACTGTCTCACCCAAAAAGAGAAAAAGAATATCCTCACGACTAAAAGCAGATGATGCTAATCATATTATATCTTACGTTGAGTCCTAACCTGAAAATCGCCGCAAAACATTTCTAGATCTCGCCTCTGGCTCCTTTAGACATCTTGGTGTTAGTGAGCGAGTAATACAGAGATAACTAAAAAAAAGAGGATAGCAACGACATGTGGCTCTAAAGCCTCCAGTATCTCAAAAAACTATGAAGACACGCAGAGAATGGGCCGAAGCTCATCTCAATTGGGCATGTGAAGACTGGACGTCAGTTTTACGGATAGATGAAACTTGGGTAAAGGATGGAAGAAATTCTAGAGAATGGGTGACAAGAAGTGTTCTTATCTTCCTCTTTAGGAAGATAGTAATTTGATGCTCTAACATAAGGAGCTAGACTTCCCAAGAATACATTGCTGATTGCATCGGAGAAAAATCGAAGAGTGTCGGCTAGATGTTCTGGGCTTGCTTTGCAGGACCAGAAAAAGGCCCCTGTTTATTTTGGGAGAGGGAGTAGGGTCCATTAACTCCCAAAAATATTGCGAGAAAGAAGTTCCTCTTATCGATGGCATGGTCTCGATGAGACCTTGGCTTTCCGGAAAGTAGGATAACGCTCCTGGTCACGCAGCAGCAAGTACAATGAAAGATGTGAGCCAGAGGCTCTTTCAACCGATTTTCTGGCCGACCAACTCACCTGATCTTAAAGCGATTGAAGCTGTTTGAGATAGGATGAAGGAACACATCTAGAACCATCACCATCCGAATCTGGGTGGCAGAAAGTAGCGCACTCCAGATAGTCTCCGCAAGACCGTAAAGGAGGTACGGGATTCCGTGTCTCCCGAAGATCTTATGAGACTCATTGAGATTATGCCAGCATGGTGTCAGGCTGTGACAGATGCAGATGGGGAACCAGCCTGATGTTAAGGCCTGAAAATACTCCAACCACATGTTTAGATCCAAAATTAAGATTAGACTGAGGTTCTGTTTTGTAATTCGAAAACCTTCGAACTCTTGTAAATGTGTTAAAAAGTCAAGAAGCAAAATTGCACAAATGTTATGCAGCCTATCATTATACCGATTAGGTTTAGCATGACGCAAAGACTCACTGCAAACTATGATATCCTGAAAAAATTGCCACACAAATCTTTTCAACAATTTGCACAAATACGAGGGCTAACTCTAACGTGGAAGGTGTCCATAGTTAAATCAGCTAAGTGAACACGCTAAAACCCCTGCCGAAGCCCGACTGCAAACTTGACCCCGTGGCAATAGGGTAGCACATTGACAGACATACTAAGCTCTCTGACCCCTGGGCCGACATCAGGCATCCTGCTGTCTTCAAGATCGGCACTGCCCTCGATGATCCAGATGCACTTGAACATCCTCGCTCGAGACCCATCCCGCTACCCCATGAATTGCCAAGTCGCGCCTAGCAACTAACCGCGCAGCCAGGAACTGGTTGGGGCCTCGGGCTGAGCCGTGCCGTCGCCATCCGCTCCTCGACCCGTCACCACTCCTAAGCCGAGCCTAAGTGTGCCCAGCTCCGGTTTTGCCGGCTGCTCTACCAATAAAACCCCAATGAAGAGACTTCCGCTACGGGTGACGCCATTTTCTCCCAACCTGAGGCCGGGTAGCGAAGTGTTCATTCCATCTCGAACTGTTACTATTCCATCAAAATGAGAGCCTGGTCACATTTGGGACGCGAGGTAGATTGACGAGACAAGTACAGTGTACGAAAACTGCCTTGCTAGAATAATCTAAGATGCTCGCACGTTAATTAGAGTCCTTTGAAAATATTGCTGGTCGGAGATGATTTCAATTTTGATGCAAGGTAACAGATTTATCCAGGTATAGCCTTTCAAATACTCCTTAAACAATAGAATATGTTGGGAGCTGGGAATCAATTAGGCCGACACGCATCTGATAATCGGCCTTACATCTGTTATCAACAAAGATAGTCTACAAATGCAAAATCACTGCCCGACAGACATAAGGTAGATAATTTCAATCTGGGCCAATCATAAGCATGGGCAGCTTACCCAGTGAATTCCTCACGATTGCAATTTCAGCACAGTGAATTCCCCTAATGTTAGTTCCATGGACATAAATTACTTTTTAACATATCCTATTTAAATTTTCCTTGTGGATTGTATCCAGTATTTGAGGAAAAATCATATACCTGAACTTAAGGGTAAAACCAAGCGGTCGTGTCGAAATATTTACATTGATGTCCCTATAGAGTGACCTTGTCTGACCTAAATAAACCATCAATTAAATCTAGAAATCCACCAGTATGGTCTTAAACAAAATATCAAGGGTTGTAACGGTTAATTAAGATTTCGGGTACGAGCCCGTTAACATTTTCTAGGATAAATAAAAAGCAGGTGCCTTATCAGAATTGTTGGATACAATTTCCGATGTACTGTAAAGCTTTAAATTAATTAAGTTGCACAATCTTGAATCTGATGATGCAAAATATATTATAGGCGGCCATATTATCCCAGGATGGCTTTTTCCGAGGCGTGGATCCACCTGGTCTAAACCTTTAATCGTCTTTGTATCGGGGTAAACGAGAGGGTAAATTGTATGTGATAGCATATTTATCTCGATGTTTACTTTTCGAGAGAAAAACATACAAACTAGAGACTTTTATGACAGTATTCACGTAGTATAGATACTGCCTGATACACATCCGTAAAGACGTGGAGTGTGGATAATAGAGTATCCTAGGTGAGAAACAATATCAAGTCCTCCAGATGACGGTCTCATACCAAGTTTGGCTATCAATTTTTGCGGGATCTTCTCGTGCTTTGTACTAACGACGACGGCCAGGATCGCGGTGATTTCTACTATCACGAATATCCAGCTCCCGGTCACGTTCTCTCCTGGGCAGGTTTGGAAGAGGTGGATTACTAGAAACAGCCATTGTGGTAGGGTATGGTCCTGGTTCCTGGTATTTTCGCTCACCGTAAGACTCTCTCAAGTTATAAGCACTTCCATATCCCGGTTTAGGGCCTGGTAAGGTATAGTGTGGTTTCCTCTCATCCGGATAGGAAGATGCAGGTGCGACGGCAGGTAATGGAAAATTAGGATCTTCGTGACTTCGACGCTGGTTAGGGCCAAGCGGCATTGGTTGAGGGTATAGGCCACGACCGTAATTAGGTTCCGGAATTTGAGAGGAATATTGTGGGAGGTGCTGGACTTGTACATATTGAGGACCATTTATTCGAGAATTATCACATCCAGGAGGAGGGTACCCGCGCGGATGCTCAATACCCATATTAGATCCTGCTATGAAGTGATTCTCCTGTGGGAAAGATGATGCCGCGACTGGTTGGCTGTATCCTCCGGAAATGTGTTGGGGGTAGCTAGAGGGATGATATTGGTCATATCCAGGCTGGGAACATGCTGAGGGAACTGTAGACACATAATTTGAAGTTACCTCACCTGTCGGCCCCCAATGTTGTCGTGATTCGTGCGTGCGAGACTGTGTGTAACCGACTAATTAGTGTTAGAAATTTCCTGTGAATTAATTTTGTAGAGGTACCGTTTCCTCTTGAAGTGGCCGCGCGACGCTCTTGATCCCACCTTTCTGAGTCTGCCTTAAGATCCTCTATCATGGCCTACGAAAGTTCGTGTCAGCGTGGTTTGGTAACTGCTTAATTAAAAGTGTGATATTACACTCGTTAGATTACGGTAAGCAGTTATGTAGTAGCCTTGCTGAATAGATCGTGTCGAAGGGTTCTATTGAAAATAAGCCTATGTATTAAGCCGGCTTCAAATATCACCAACCTCATAGTTTCCTGGTCGGACTAGAGCATCGTTTCCGAGGTAGCGACAGATGTCGGCAGTGATGACTTCCCGATCAATGCCATCCTTGGGAACGAAGTACTCATTTGATCGAGTTTGACATACTGGTGCGCCACGTCGCTCTCTAGGATCTACATCTCTTCTAATTGCCATGGTATAATCTGATTTCAAACTTCGAATTAACTTTTCAAGACAGTGAGTAAGAGTGAATGTGACGGATACGTGAATGATTATAAGATGGATGAGGGTAAATCCACACTGTCGTATATTCAAGATGGGGAGATGAGAATGGAGCCGTCAACGTGTGTGAAATCTCAGATGTACAAGTTAGGGATCTGATTAGACAAACGAAAGGGTGGATACGTTTAGAGGACTAGAATGACAGATCGTAGACGCTAGAGGACGGGCGAGAAGAAAGATGCGTACGGGGAAGCGGTACAGAAAAAGGCTCGATTAATTTGAGACATGGACGAAGGCTCAAAGTTAGAGATAATTAGCTAGTTTACCGGAGGGGAGGGGTGATAGAATTGGCGGATGGAACGATGGGGTGAGGGAGCCCTACACAATAATCGCTAAAGGATGTGGAGATGAGGCTAGCGGGAACACTAGATTGATGCGACCACTTAATCACACAATATTCAAAGTGCTCGAGGTAACTAGTCGAAGGGCAGAATACGCTAGCTATTCAGTTACCTTGACTTTGCTGAGTCTTTTGCCTCTCTAAGGGTGCTCTGTGTAAATCTACAACTATCTCAACGGCGGCATCTGCCAATGAGGACTGTGCCAAAATACTCACGAGTGTCTGGGCTTGTTGCAGTCCTGTTTTCCATTGCATCTTGTGCTGTCTCCGTCAAGTTGCACGCAGTGGAATGTTTAATTTTGCTACGCGCCGTCCATATCCGAGGAGACGGGGAGGTTGCTGGACTGGACAAGACTAGCTCTATTTGGGCTCAAGCGCATTGCCATGATTCAGGACTAAAAAATCTAATATGTTATAAGCGAAGCAATTCCTCGCTTAGATTTGGCCGCCATGCTTCGCGCCCAATTTATCGTGGTGATGACGCCTGCTCAAATTTGTGCGCATTGCTCTCCTCGGCATCTAATTGATTGAACTAACGCACGAGTTTCTGTTCGCCTGGACTTCTCCGGTCGTCGCTCATGGCGAACAGGATAGCCAGGCGGCTAAGTTAAATGTACAAGCGGAGAGGCCAAACTACCACTAGCTTGTACTGTTGTCCAGATAGGTTGGGCATTCACGCATACTAGGGTGTGCAAGCCCAACGCTCGCAGCCTGACAGATTTTAGTGAGGGGGTATGTAGAAGTCGGATGGGCTGGTCCGTGAGGGGAAGGAAGGAGAATTTATATCCCTGCACAACTCATTCGGTTTACGAAGTTTCATAATTTGAAGGTCAAGGATAAAATTGTGTATGATAGCACAAAATATATTCCATTATTGAATTTGCGTAGAATTCGGGACAGACTTGAGCAGATTCAATTAGCTTGTCCTCACGTTTTCCGTTAATAGCAACATCTCTGGATCTACAGCTGTTTGGTTCAAATTTTGTGTTTACGGCAGGTATACCCGTAACACCACGTTGCGGTACTCAGTAGTGTGCAGATTAATACGATCTTGGCTCAGAAGGTACAGCAGAAGACCATCCGACAACTAGATACGCGAGATCTTTTAGTCGCTAGTTCGTCATATGGAACTTGGAAGCTACTCCAGGACGGAACATCATATGGCTGCCAAGTTGCTCCCTATTCGACAATCCTAAATACTCCGACAGAGATTATCCGTCAGGGAATCATGTGGATATATTCAATTTTTACAGTCAAAAGCTTTGATTGGTATTCATTTCAGATATACATGATGCTGTTCGGAAGCCGCTTAAAATCCCGTGGGTTCGCTAGGTCATCTGCTCTAGCCAGGTTGCATGAGTGACCCCGATACAGATCTACAGGCAGTACAATTTGAGGAACTTCTACCGGCCGCACCTGCCATCATGCTTTCACATTCAGTACCGGATATCCGGCCTACTTTTGATTTCTTGACCCTGTTTCCTTACGCAGCCTTGATGCTGGCCATACCCACTAAAGCGGAGTAGATGGCTTCAGTGGAGCTTACGGCAGGCCAATTCGACGTGCCTAAATGTCAGGGGAAGAATTCTTCTACAAATATTTTCATCTCACACGGATCCGTTTGTGTCTTGCCCACCAAATTGTAAACGACTTTGTACTTTTTTTGACTTTCCTTTTCCGCTATTCGGCATGTGCGTACTACTTACTCTTTCCCACGAGTTCTTCACTGGATGATTAATTAATGATATTTTCTGGCTCTCTTTGTCTTGTAAATCCCTTGCTAGGTGCCAATCTAAATGATTCTGCAGAGTATCTGCACATTCTAGGTTCATATGACACCGGGTGCAGAGAAAATCGCTTTCACCCTGGTGGCGAGGTTCTACAGTCATGGCTTCTATACCATCTTCTCTGGTCTGAAAATGACTAAGCGCGGCTAAGGATAAACTTGATCCTCTGTGTTCCAATTTATCCACAGATAAGCGTTGGGCCCCAAGCCCATTATCAAGGTTCTGAAAATAGGCATTTTTATGAAAATATCTGTGGATTCCTGTCGTATTATCGAGGCGACGTCGCTTGTCTAGTCTCTCAATACTATCATCAGGAGCATTAGGTCCATCCATGTGCATAGCTTTGATGTCGTTGCTTTTTATTAAAAAATTTCCGATTCCCATATTGCCCGTGACCCCATTCTCGAATCCCCCGACGCTAAGACTAAGGTTTGCACATGGCCACGCCTGACCATCTTGGTTCATTTGATCAAGAAGACTCCGCGCTAGTTCAAAAATATCATTTTCTTTTATCTTTCTCCCCAGAGGAATTAATCCTGATCGTGATTTAGTTTGAGCACCATTCTTGTGATGTAAATGAATCGTCTTTGGTCGTCTCCTATTTTCCAGGACGCCTTCCTCCACTAATCTTGAATATAAGTCTGCAGCAAAAATACGCAGCCAACTATAAGCTTGTTCGTGGGTGGTAATACTAGGACGAAAAGATTTTGCGGAAAGCATCGACTTGATTTGAGTCCGAGAACTAACTTCGCTGTAGTCTTGTCCACGGATGATCTGATAGACCCAAGTTCCGGTTTCGTCTCCAAGGGCTTGTTTCAACTTGTGATGCGAAATTGAGAGTAAATGGTCCAATTTTTCGGTGGCAAATTCCTGGATAATTTTCTCTCCAAGTTTGCCACCCAAACCTCGTATTTGAGTGAAGTTGAAATTAGAAAGAAAAGATTCTACGGCCCGGCGCCGGATAATTGTTTGTTGATTTGGCTTCTTGTGAGCTGATCCCAGCTTTGCCAACATCTTATTTTGTGCTATGCCAGCCGAACAAGTATATCTGAGTTTCTCTAAAATATTTGCTCGGATATTGCGAACGATCTCTGATCCGATTACGACAGCTATATCATCCCAGTCCGGGTAGTCTTCTTCCGTTTCTTTGGAATCAAGGTCAACAAGAGCATCAGCTGCCCAGTCTAAAATATTTCTAGGAGGATGGGGAAGAAATTCTGTTGGGTCATCGTATGGTGGTGGTTCTCTCAGCTTAGGGTATTGCTCTAACAATTTTATGTGGACAAGAGCTGAAAGATCTAAGAAAACTTCATCAATTGACGCTCTCTCAATTCTCTGAAATTCTTCAGGGAGGCTTTCTTTGATACAGGCCACAATTCGTCGAGACTCTAATCGGTACGGATCAAGAGAAACCTTGTGAGTAGCCATATTTTTGAACGCTTCATCATGATAAGCCCAACTTTCTTCTCCTTCTTTCCAGGTCGCCACATGCTGCGTGATCAAATCGGGACATAATTTTTTGGCTTCAGTAATCGTAATATGTCGATTAAGACCAAATTTTCTGGCAGGGTAGTTAATCGCTATCAAGCCTTGCCTGTTCCAGTGAGTAAATCGATGTCAGATCTGGAAATCTGTCTACCATTGTTGTACTGCGAGTGGCTGATTTTCTGGCACGTTCAGCCGCACCATCTCACATTGCGCGTAGAAAGCGTCCAAATCTACGTGAGCAATGACTCGGAGGGGACAATTTGGGGTAAAAAGCGCCAGTTGCCCAAGGTGTCGGTATGTGTAGCGCGATTTCTGATGTCGCGTCCCGCTGGCGGGGGGTGAGTTGAAGCCCGATGAAGATGGCGATGACATCGAAATTTTGCCTTAATTCGGCCACCTCATAGAATAAAAATAAATTTGGGCTACGACAAATGAGAAGAGTGATCGTTGGGGTTTGTACACCTTCTATGTAGAAACGGAGCAATGGCGTTGCAAAAGATAAATTTATTGGTTACCGGGTGGTTGGCACAACACTCAAGCAGACATTACAGCCTTGTCATTTTGTAAATTCCGTCACACTCCCACCTATGTTTCTCCTATATTTGACAACCTCTTTCAGTCTGCTTCCGTGAGCTAACTTTATATTTGTTTACATAACACGATGTTCATTATTTTGTCTTCTACACTATATTAAAAGGTCGACCAAAAATGTGATGAAGGCTCAACACTTGTCAGTAGTGTCTCCTACGAATCCCTAGCTCTCATTTTAGAGTCTACAATGCCGATATTGAGCTCCGACTTTTCAACTTTGAGCTGAGTGGTCTCCCCCTCTGTCAAAGATACGCTTTCGATAACACATGAGACGATTGAGACGATGAAAACGCTGCTGGAAAACAAGAATAACACTGCGGCACCGAAAGCTACAACGGTAGTCAGAGAAGCTCTCCTTATATTCTAACACAAGCTACCCAATTAAAGGCGAACAAAAAGCCCACGAAATTAAAATAAAAGATATTTGCGCTCCCTTCAAAAGCAGCTTTTGACATGTTAATAAAATCGCTTCTCTCTATCTTTTATTCCGAACATACTTGCCAAAAGTGAATCCAAAGTATGTGAGTTATTCGAAAACCCCACGTACGTAACGGCTTTCGTATGATGGTAAAAACTACTTCATGGCAATAACTCTCTACCATGACCCTCCTGGCGTCTTTCCACTGCCTTACACCTGTCCTGCGGCACTAATCAAGGGAAGAATAAGGGAGAGAGGCTCTCAGGTTTACATAATCCAGCCGTGACTAGCTAGCCAAACTCTTCGAGAGCTACAGAAGGGTAGTTATGTCACCCAATTAATTTCTGTTGTAATTATGGGAGTAACGTGACTGCATTACAATAAACTGTTCACATTAGAATAATGTGCACATGCGCCATGAGATATAATTGACCTAGATCATCACTCATTTGCATGACATAGTATTTCCAAATAGATTCCTAATGGTATCTATTGGCGCAAGGATCTCTCACATCCTCCTTTCTCGGTTAGACGAGGACATATGTTGGAACATCCACTAGTGTGCAGAAACCCCCTTTTCATGTATATAGAGGAAGGTCCTGTCACGTAGATAATATAATCCATTCATACATTAGGAAATTTAAACAATCTCCATATTATTCACGCACTTGAGAATACCAGGGAATATCCTTAAGTTCGTCCATTGATCCGAGTCCTGAGAGTATAAATCACGAACTTCACTTCTCTTAACGCCATCGCTACCTCCTTCCATACCTTCATCCTAACAGTACGTCCCTCCAGATGAGTATAGCCTTTCAATACAAGCAACTGTCATTGATATCAGCATCCTACCCTAGCCATCATCAATATCCTTATCTTATCTATTCTTACCGTATAATATCATTCATCAAGCTGCTAAAAAGATCATAAGTCTTAAATATTTACGCCTTTGGTTAAGAGTAAAGGATCGAACTGAAGGATAAGTCTCACGCTTCATCCTTACAATTTCCTTGTCGAAAGCTTTCAGTATCTAGTTATAAAGATCCTCAGGAAACGGGTCGATATCTATATACGGATCGATATTTCTTTGGAAAATTTGATAGGCAACTTTGAAGCTAGCTCTTTCACGCAATTAAATTTTGGCGAGAATGGATCCAAAATTATAGCTCTGAAATCTGAGGGAGAAACTGCGCTTTTTTTAGAAGTATGTATCCACGACTTCTCCTTTATACCGTTTCCTTAGCGTACCAATGAAAGGGCATTTTTTCGAGGGCCATCCAAGACGTATGCAGACCGAAATGAGTACATAAAAGAAAGATTCTAGATCGTGTCGATACGAATAACTCTATCCCCTTCAAGGAGTGCATAAGCTTTCAAAATACCGAGGGCGATGAACTCCATCGTTCCCGTAAGGAGCTTGGCATCTACTAAACAAGTATCGTCACTAATCGAAATTGCCAAATCCAAGTCTATCAACACTTCATAACAACCATCACTGAGCTTCGGATCTGTCAATGTAATATTATTTGTCGATATATCGCGGTGCAATATCTTCGAATCCATAAAAAGTGACCTGTACCCCTTAACTGCGTCGCATAGCCCGCAGATCAGTTCAAGGGGTGTTGTATCTTCATCGATGGCACGTCCGAAAGGTTTCGATGCGATGACTGTCTTCCAATAATTCCTGTAAATCGTCGAAGAATCAGTGTTAGTGATATCTTGAACAGGTGCCGAAGTGTTCATCTCTCCATCAACGAGTGCTTGTTCGCCTGAAGCTTCTGGAACGTCGTTTTCTTGCGTAGTCACAGACTCGACGCTGGCTTCCAAATTTGATTCTCCAGTATTGCCTGATATGCAGAGCTTCTTCATATCTCGCTCAGGTAACATGTCCACATCGGTGTTGGCGTAGTTGTCATCAGCATCTCTGTTCCTTTTTCCCAAAGATGAGTTTGACCCTTGACCAACATCAAGGCTGCTTTCTGTGGCTAGATTGTCCTGCGTAGTAAGCGTTTCTGGAGCTGCTACTTCAATCACAGGGTTAGCATTAGCTTCCGACGTCTTCTACTCATTTTTCGCCCCAGTTTTGCTTCCTGAGGCGCCAGATTTGACGCTTTTGCGTATTCTTGATGTCGCGGCGTTGAGCTGAGCTTGCCTTGAAATATTTACGACACACGCTCTCTTGCTCCTTCGAATATTATGCTTATTAGCACCATCGATGAACTCGCTGCCACGCTTGACACCTCCATTTAGCTCGGCGCTTTCACCTGAGTTTAGAGACCCAGATTGGGCTGAGTTGCATGCCGTCGTCATCTTGAATTCAGGTGGATGAATATCTTTTTTCATTCCTTCCGTGAAAGTTAGCTCGCTGCAAAGTTCACTTATCTTGCAGGTATCACTAGATCCAATCAATGTCGCTAGCCCTCGCACGCCCCGTACCTTCAAAAGAAGTTCAGCTTCAGACTTGCGTCCTACAGCTCTCCCTGGAATCTTTACCACAAACGTCGCGTCCAGAGAAAGGAAAATCGCTATGCCGCGCGTGATAATTGCGTTTTGCTTTGTGAACGGCTGTGACTGGTACAACTTCTTCTCATTCACAGTATCGGCATCAATGACTTTGATGATGGTATTCTTCTTATCTTGATAGATAGTAGAGTCAATGCCAAGTTCATCATTGCTCATCATATGAGCAGTTATGACGTACAACAGGTTTTCCGGATTTTCCCTTATTCCAGTAAAGTCAGACGAGTATGGTCCAGATCGATCCTAAGCCCAGAGCTGCAGTTGTGTTCAAAACATTAGAAACCCATGTATAAATCGTCGCAATGGCTGCGCCGCATATACCTCCCGCATATAAAACGAGAGCTGGAAAAACTTGTCGGTCCACTTCCCAACGGGTGAGGTCGTCAGTTCGCCCACAACAAGAACGTCTCGCCAGTCATTGGGAGTACGAGCTGGGAGATGGCTGCTCTTGAGGAAGATATCAATTTGCCGCGGAGCCAACCCACCATTTATCTGCCTAGGCCCCGTAGTCTGAAACTTCTAAGCGCGGAGAGGGATAGGCTTCTGTTCCTTGGAGGTCTTGTATACTTTGTAAGGCTCGATAAATTTCGCTTGGATCGCCTTGATCCATTCCCAAACATTGGTTTCCATCGGATTGGCGGGGAAATAGAAGCTCACTTTCTCTCACCTGTTCACGTAGCGCTTTGCAATATCCTTACATTTGTTTGCCTAAGTTGTCCCCTCAAAGTACTTTTTGTAGAAGCTGTCGACATTCTCAAAAATTGTGCCCACCAGTTCAGTCTTAAGTTCATCTTTCAATGATTCCATGAATTGGTCCTGACTTTCAAGTGGAGCCGTACACCGTATGTGTCGTGAATCAATGAATGGTGTCGATTTAACATCCATCACGGTCGGAGTGATTGGCTCTAGAGAATCCACCAGATCAGTCAATTGTTTCCAAATTTCGATATCTGTCTCATCAGCGTGAATAGAATTGATGAGAGGTATGAAACACTTTAAGCTTATACTCTCGGAAGCTAATCGCCTCTAAATTATGTTGATACGTGCAGGCATATTTGTATCAACAGCTGATGGTGCTAGCCATTATGTGGCATAATCATTGAGGGATATGAGTAGAGTAGAAAGTGCTGTACTTGTAGGCTGGAGATCAGTGTCTTCGTCCAACATTTGTTTCGAAATGTCAAAGTTGAGAAACGCGCAAACTCCTTTGAAGCTTATCATGATATCTAGGAGTGTATTTGCTGCGAAATGAGCAGAATCTTCGACTGATTGATTTATCTTGTGGTATGGTACTAGATGGATGGAAATCGGGGACGGTTGGTGTGTGATTTAGATAGATATGTGAGGAGTGTGATGAACATGAAGAGTGTGATGGATGTTTGATATAAAGTAGATGGATTTCACCGACTTATACCAAGAGATTTTGTTTCTTACTATCAGTCATAATCCATTCCTACATAATTCCCTGACTGCAAAAATAGACTGTTCAAATTAAGTCGAATCTCTGAAATTGACAATGCAGATCATGAACGCACCAGCTGTGGATCATCTCGTTAGACCAACACAGGGATCCAACCGATGTTGGCCGATCTCTTCCCGCGTTATTACCTGTCGCATTCACCGTGAAATGCAAGCGATCCCTTTCAATTGCACCTCCTGCGAAGTTCTCAACTGACTTGAAAAAGCGTGGCGTACAAATCTGGGAAATAGTTCTTTAGGATGGACGTGAGAGGGATCAGGACAAGTTCACAAGATGATGCAAAGGATGGATACATTCTCAACAGACGTGAAATTTCAAATGATGGCAAAGAGTTTTTACAAATTGAGCTTGATGCGCGACAAG